TTTTTTTAGTTTTTTGCTATAGGGCGCGTGCGCTCACCAGAAAGAGAGACAGACAGAAAGCCAGAAGTCTGCCCCAGGGGGGTTGGCCACACCACAATCACTTCTCCTCCATTCTCCTCTCTGGATCTTGGGCACGCACGCACGCACACGCCCCCCGGTGTGAGTTTAAGCCACCGGGTCCGGGACTGGAACCAAGGTCGACTACATGGGAGTTCAGCGACATAGCCATTACGCCAACTGCTGGTCCTGAAGCCCACACATTTTTCAACAGTAACAGCAAGGTTCTTAGAGGAGTGGTAATAGTTTCCACGCTGGCAAATCTCTTTACTGTCTGGGTTGGTAGAGGACTGCTTGCTTCCATCTGCTTCTACATTCACTTTGTGGCTCTCTGTCTACTGCATTCCGGAGAGAAGTTGAGTGAAAATGGTGAAGAACTGTGTGGCGGAGATGGTGCCTCCTCGCCCCGTTCATGTGCTGGAGGGCTAGCCCCCAGCATGGCCCTATTTGGAGTAAGGAATTAAGAGTAAATGAGGCAGTAAGGACAGGGGCCTGATCCCGCAGGATTAATGTCCGGTAAGAAAAGACACCTGGCAACTTGGACTCCCAGCCTTGCAAGGCGACAGCAAAAAGGCAGCTCTAGTGACTGGGAGAGGGGTGTCCTCATGGACCTAAGCCATCAGTCACCTTGACCTTGGCTTTCCTGCCTCCAGCACTGTGGGGACATGAATGTCTGTTATTAAAGCCACCCAGTCCATGCATTTTGGTATGGCAGCCCACGCCGGCAAAGTTGGTATTTTAGTGTTACTCTGAAAATATTTTGACCTGGGGCTCCCTTCCAGGTCACTGAAAACCTTATTAGACTGTGAGGGGATGGAGACTCTGCTTTTGAAAACGACAGGTTCTAAATGGAAGTGTGGGCAGGCATGCCTTGTGAGAAGAGGGTCTCCAGGTCCCAGGCCTACTCTCTTCTTCAGATCAGGAATGAAAACAATCTCTGATACCAGCAAGTCTCGCTGTCCCTCCCGTCTGCGGAACTTCCCTCAGCTCCCGTTGTCTCTCTCACCTCCCTGTTCTCTGCACAGAGGGAACACTGTGAGCTTTCCACACGCAAGTCCCATCCCACACACGGCTTAGCGCCCCTCCCTGCCTTCCCATCACACTTCGTGGTTCCTCCTGCTTGGACTTACAGGGTCCTGTTCTTTGAGGGGCAGCCAGGTAACTGCAAACAGGGTGAATTGGAGGTCAGCTTCGGACCTCAGAGAGTAGGGTTTTCTGGTATGCCATAGGTGCCCCACAAAGAGACATTGACAGTACAAAAATATAACATCATGCTGGCCAGACAAGCATGGTACCTGGGCCAGCCATGGGTACGGTTCCTGGCTCCCCTCGGTCTGGTGCTGCACTCCTGGTCACATGCTCCAGCAGTGTCATCTGCTGTTTCCCAGAACAGGCCAAGCTCCTGCTCAGGATTGTGCACCTGCTCTTCCCTGCTTCACACTAAGTTCCCGGCCCTTTGTGCCCTACACCCCAGCCTGCCTGTCCTCTCCTCAGAGAAGTCTTTCCTGACCGCTGTTCACATTGCCCTCTCTGCACTTTGATCACAACGCCCTTTCCAACTCCCTTTGTTTTACCTAGCACAATCCGTAAATTTTTTATATTAATATTTTCACCTCTTTATTTTCTGCCTTTCAATTAGCATAAAAGCTAAAGCTAGTGCTCCAATACCTGGGAAGACTAAATAAAAACCTCCTGGACCAGCAGTTAGCATAATGGCTGTGTCGCTGGATTCCCACGTAGTCGACCGCAGTTCGCGTCCCGGATGCAGTGGCTTAAAACTCACACCGGGCGCGTGTGCGTGCGTGCCCAAGATCCCGAGAGGAGAATGGAGGAGAAGGGATTGCAGGGTGGCCATCCCCCCTGGGGAGTGATTTCTTGCTTTCTGTCTCTCTGTCTCTCTCTGTCTGACAAGCACACGCACCCTATAGCAAAAACCTCTAAAAAATTTAAATAAATAAATAAACCTCCTGATCATATGGAGGGATGGATGGGTGGATAGAAGGGCCCAGAATTTGAAATCTCATTTCCAGAATGAAGCCAGACTTCACATAAGGCACTTAATAGACCCGGCAAATATATATATTAAGGTAAAATATGTTAGGATAAAATATTAGAGCCGGAAGGGGCTTTAAAGATCATGTAGACAAGAGCCAGCTGGTGGCATGGTGGTTAAGGCACACGGCTGACTGCAATTTGAGTTCTGGATTCGGCATCGTGGAAACACTCGCCTGCAGTTTGAGTTCAGGACCCAGTGGCTTAAATCTCAGGGCAGGCGCATGTGTATTTGTACCCAAAATCCTGAGGGGAAAATGGAGGAGAAGGGATTGCAAAGTGGCCGTCCCCCCTGAGGAGTGCTTTTTCACTTTCCCTCATAATGTCTCTCTCCACTGAGTGCACGCACCCAATAACAAAATGTTTAAAATCACAAGTTCTAGGACCTGTGTTTTTTGGATGGCAAAAGTAAAGCTCACATGTTTATAAAAGCTGGCTTTTCTCAATACATGTTAATAGAGTTTCTAATCCCCTGTGTATCAGCCACCTGCAAAATTCAATTGCATATTTAAAGTCAATGTGTTTATTTTCTGTTTGTTAATAGATCTGTTTGCTTTATGTCTTAGTGAGGTTTTTTTAAACACTATTTAAGGTTGGTTATGATAACATAATAATGAGAACATAAGTATAAAAGTAAACCACATGGGAGCCAGCAGGTAGCATGGTGGTTAAGGTGCTGGACTCTCCCACATGGCTGATCATGGTCTGAGTTCCAGACCGTGGCTTGCTTTCTCACTTTCCTTTTCTCTCTCTCTCTCTCTCTCTCTCTCTGTGTGTGTGTGTGTGTGTGTGTGTGTGTGTGTGTGTGTGTCTGGTCAAATTTAAAATAGATGAATGAATAAATAAAATTAAATAAATAATTTTAAAAAAATTAAATCACATGTAGAAAAAAGAAACAAGTATAGAAGCCATTGAAGTTGCTAGTAATAATGATGCCCATTTCCAAGGCAACTGAATGGATTACATGACTACTGAATAGGAAGTGATTTTTTTCCCTAGAGGATTTGTGTACTTACCAGAATGAAATAAGGAGAGGGGGAGAGAAGAAAGCATCTCCCTTGGGGAAATGGTCAAACTGCAATCCCTTCTCTTCCACCTCTCTCCTTTTGGGATTTTGGGCATGAACATACATGCACCCAGTGTGTTTCTGAAGCTGCCGTGTGCAAGACTCGAGCCACTCGGTGAGACATATGAGGTCCCAGCTACCGTGAGCACCACGCCATGGAGCTGGCTTCCAACCTGAGCTTTGCACTAGTCTGACACTTCCATGCGCTTCCAATTAGTAAAACTAGAATGTCCAATTTTCTGCAAAATTGAATCATAGAAAGGTTAAATTAAATATGTCCTCAGGCATATCGTCTCTCCTCTTTACCTGGGACTGTCAGTTCATATATATTGCAATAGTGGTAATCCACTACACATAAGGAATACATAGTCAACGTAAATCACTGTCTCTCTTTTTTATAAAGTGGTGCCAGGAGTAAGTGAAGTCTCCATGATTAATGTGGGGTTAAAAGTTCTTAAAAAGCCAATACAATCTGTTTGGGTTTTAGTGGATTGTTTCTGAAAAATCACAACTCACAAAAATACATGCCAAGCTATTTCCCGAGGAGAGTAAATTCTGATATTTTATATTAACCAAAACCAACAATGAAAAATACAATTGGAACCAATTACATGTAGATCGAACATGAAAATAATCAGAGCTCCTCGCCAATCTCTGTCCCCCCTACGCAGTACTCTCCTCGAACATAGTGAGTGGTTGGTGAGTTCCGTGTCAATTTGGTAACAATAAATAATAAATATGGACTACAGACCTATGGATGTTCCTGTCTCTCTTTCTCTGATGCCCAGAGTTCCTCTCTAATTTGATTCAGGGCCTCCCATACTGCTCAGTGCTTATAGCGGTTTATCGGTTTAAATATATTTAACTGTTGGTATGTGGAAAAGTAGATTCACTGTTGAAGTTTTAAGACAAAAGAAGGCCAAATATTTAAGTTGGCACCAACTTACCAAAATTGCTATTAAAATCAATAGATGTGTGGGGTGTCAATAATGAACTTCAAGTGGAAGATCATGTATGTTAACATTTAGCAGGAAGTAGAGCAATTACCACATGGTAGAAACAAACGCACCTTCGAGAGCAAAGGAACTTCTATCCAGTCACGTGATCCAGAGAGTGGTGCTATCGTGAACGAGGGGAGGAGTTACTGAAAGAAATTCACTTACATGTTATTCTTTTTCCCTCATGCTGAAATATTGAAACATAACTCCTAACACAGCACATTTTTTACCTGTTTTTTGAAGCTGAAAAACATGCGGGAGTTTCCTGTGTCACAGCTTCAGTGGATGACATCCAGTTCCAGGAGACAGCCAGGTGAGTGGCATCACCCCCTGGCCCTCTTCCTCCAGGGTTTCCTGGTTCATTTGTGTCAAGTCTATATGGCGACTGAGCTTACTCATTTGGCCTCAGTAATTTGGTTTGTTAATAAAATAAAAAAACATTTGACCCAAGGTAAATCAGTGAGAGAATAATCATAGGGCCAGGAAACACAGAAAGTGTGAATTTACAGTCTTCATTTTGCTGAGAAATAGCTCTTGGCCCCAGATGCATTGTGACAGGAGGCATAGCAGGGTCTCTAGAAGCTGAGTCTTAATGGCTCCTTCCTCTACTGAAAGAAGTCTGTGATAATAAGTGTGTTCACAAGGGTGACCGTCATCATTAGGTTGTTGAGTAAACAGTGACTCATCGGAGTAGAGATAGTAAATTATGAAAACCGTTTCACGTGTGGGAGTGCTTGTGCTTTACTATCTCTCACTGTGGAAAATGTCAAGATACACAAACACTTCGAGTGGACGTGGAAGTAGAGAGAACAGCACAGCGGGTCCCAAAGCCTCACCACCTAGCTACAGCTACCCTCGATTCAGACACTTAGGTTTCACCGCTACTCCTCTACACTCACTCATGCACCTAGAATATATATATATATATATAGGAGAGGTTTTCACTACAGGGCGTGTGCGCTTGCCAGACAGACAGAGAGAGACATGGAGACAGAAAGAAGTGAGAAATCACCCCCCAGGGGGAATGGCCACGCCACAATCCCTTCTCGTCCATTCTCCTCTCAGGATCTTGGGCACGCACGCACATGTGCCCAGCGTGAGTTTTAAGCCACCAGGGCCGGGACATGAACCGCGGTCGACTACATGGGAGTCCAGTGACATAGCCATTATGCTAACTGCTGGTTCCTGCACCTGGAATATTTTGAAGTCAGTATTTTCAGTATTTCTTTCTAAAAGATCAGGACTCTTGAAAAACATAAGAACATCACCAGAACACCATTAACAGCAGTGTTAAGAAGTTTTCATTCTTAGTGATGTCAAAAAATTTTTTTGGTTTAAACAAGCATTCCCGCTTTGCTACTTTTTTTCTTTTAGAATTATTTGTATTTAAGTTTATTAATTTATTTTTATTTTAGTTTGACCAGAGAGGGACAGGAGGGAGGGGGAGTGAGAAAGCAAGCTGCCAGTTCTGGGACTCGAACCATAGTCAGCCATGTGGGAATTCAGCACCCTTAAACACCATGCCACCTTCTGGTCCACCCTAAATTTCTTTTATTAAATTTAAACAGTTTACTGAATAAGGATCCAGTATGGTTGCTCTGCCTCATAAGTGAGACATATGTAATTTTAATATAATTTGACATAATTATTAATATAATTCCTCTTTCTTTTTGCTCACAATTTATTTTTAAAAGAAACCAGGTCACTTATCCTATAGAACTTAACCACATTTCATGTTTATGCATTGTACATTTGTTTAACATGTTTTCCTGTCCTTTGTATTTCTTAGAATCTGATAGTTACATCTAAAAACTGATTTGACAAAGGTTTGATATTTTGATTAAACTATCTCCTGCCCGGAACACCTAATATCTAAATGATCATCACCTTGAACCATTACATCATTAGATATTGGTAAAATGCAAATTCTATCAGTTCTTCTTTATTTATTTTCTGAACTACTTCTATAGAAAGAAACTTTCTTTCATTAATGATTTGATTATCCCGAGGCAAAGTTTGTCCAGTATGACAGGCCTAATTCTTTCCCTTCGTTTATATCATTATGAACTCATAGGTTTTAACATAATCGATTTGTTTCTATTTGGACCATTATTCTTACAACTGCTCACACTGCCCCATCAATGAGCAGTGAGAGCATCTTCATTTATGGTTCCTAAGTCCTTTGACTTTGTGTCAAAGTCCTTTGACCATAATCCCAAACTTAGTAGTCCTGAATGACTCCTTTGCTTTCTGATATAAGATTTTATAGACTCATCATTCACATTTCCTCACACGAACTTGCAATCAATTATTTCTTCAAGGAGTCCTGGTTCCTTGCAGTAGAAATGACAGCAGTGAGCACAATCAGAGCAGGAAAGGTGCTCCCTGATACAGGGCTGCTCACTATCCCTAGGTCTTTCAGTGGCCACATTTAGGAACTATACATTTTTTAAGAGTTTATACTAACATCTGTAATAATTTAGGATTATATGGCTTTATCTAATTTCTTTGATCTTATGCTTGTATCTCTTTATTTTTATTTTTATTTATTTATTTCTATTGTAAGACACTGGATTTAATAGAAAACATTACACTGTAAACAACTCAATCCATTAGCTTAAAACATAATGACAACACACTCACATACACAGACGAAAACGCTGGTACCAAAGATAGAACTTAAAGAAAGGCCTGAAAGATCTTTCCCAGAAATAGAGGCAGCAGTAGCTTCGAACAGGCACAGACGCAGGGAGGTGGCCCTTCCACAAAAGCCGAAGAGAGTACGAGGAAGGTGGACCAACAGCCCATCTTGGGAGTGGGGGATGGAGGACAACGGACACAGGCTTGTATTCGGGTGTTCTAAGAACACCAGACCACCGCATGTGAACCTGAGAGGGTCAGGAAAGTTGGTCCTGTGAGTGGGTGTAGTACTAACTCATTCGGTTTGTTGTGCTGGCCATCAACTCTTCTCAAGGAAGTGGGACAGCATGGCACTTGTGTGTTGCAGCTAAACTCAACAACTGAACTTGTGCTCAGATGTCACCTTGCTGAACACAACACTGGAGTCATGGCAGGGTCTCTTTACCCCCACCCTCTGAATTACTGTGTGCAAACGAGAGGAACCCTGAAAACACAGGGTTCCAATGGAACAGGGTTTCTGGTTTTCCACTCTTGGTGCTGGAGGGTGCCTAGGGAAGAGAAGCCTGATGTGGCTGGGCCCCTTGAGCCTCTGGATGTAAAATCAAAAGCTATCTCCTTAGTCTCACCTACCCAAATCCTCCCCAGAAGAATTATCCCAGTTCATGAAAAGGATGGCAGTGAGAGCAGAGAAAAACGCAGTGTGTGTGTGTGTGTGTGCGTGTGCGTGTGTGTGTGTGTGTGTGTGTGTGTGTTTGGGGGCGAGGGGGTAAAGGATGGTTTTATTTCCATGGCACTTGTAACTAACTGATTAGAGGAACTGCTTTATTGTACTTAGTTTAGATACTCATGAGTCTGTTCCTTAAACCAGGAATAATAATTCTAAAATAAGGGGCAAGTCTGTTCAAGAGGGGTTCTTGAGACTCTCCAGAGAGGTTGTGTCCAATATATACAAGCCCTAATTCCCTCCCACATAGGAATTAGTGCACATAAGGGAATAGAAATTCCTGATGGGAGTGTTCTGCACATGTGAACAGTGGCAGGGGGAAAACGCAAAGTTTAAAACTCCTAATCTGCGTGTGGCAGACATCAAAGTGATGAAGTGCCTTTTTCAGAGATCGTTTTCTGATTTAGTTACAAACAAGTCATTCTTCCTAGAGCTAGACTCCATGACAAGGCCCCTAGCCTCACAGCCAAGAAGCGTAAGTTCACCCATTTATCCAGAGTAGCCATACTGGAATAAGAAATACAGTTCTGTTCTCCTCAAGACAATTTCCAGGAAGACCTGCCTGTCTCTATGAGGTCCTTGATATTCAGTCCCAGCACAGACTAGTCACTGCATGCTTTCTTAGAAGACTGGCTTTTCTCAATTTCTTTCTCTTTGATACTGTAAAAGAGATCCACCAACTTGTTAGGAGCAAGCATTAAACCTTTGAAATACTTGACGGTCTTCACCTTCAGCTCCAACATGGCATCCTTGTCACACACTAACGGTCCAGGGAGGCTGCTAGAAGGCAACATGGTCTGTATGTGGCTCCTGCCTCCCCAATGCCCTTTACAGAGCAAATGCCTCGTGAGCACCTCTAAGAAGGTGCCCGTGCCCACTGTATACACATACATTATATGATGTATTTTTCTATGCAAAATACATAGAAACAATCTAATATATACACACACTTAATTGTATACTAGGTAGTTTTAGAATAACCAGACTAATATTATAATTAACAACATGATTATAAAAGTAGTTTAAGATTAATTTCGCACTTTTTCTCTTTCTTGAACTCTATATTTCATGTATAAACAAATCACTTATTATGAAGTCACTTAACATAATTCTCTTCCGGGGCTTAAGCTACCAACTTTACACATAGATAAGTTCATTCATTTCATTTGCTTTTTACTTTTAGGGATTACTTTTTATTTTCTTTTAATTCTATTTTATAATTTAAAAATTTACAACTACCAGAGTCAAGTATGGAAGATAAGTATTTTTGACTCTGGGAAATTTAACTCCAACCAGACTTCTAAGCAAGCCCCTCCTTTTTCAATAAGTAACCATTTTATTTATTTTATGACTTGACCTATTTTTGGAAATATAGGCAAATATTTATATGTATTCATGGCCTTTAAAAATAAATTTCAACACCTATACATATTTTCTCAGCCTCACTTTTTAACTTAATATTATACCTAGAAAATCACTCCGTAACTATGTAAATATATAGTCATCATTCCATTTTCTATTTTTTTCTCTTTTTTAGAGATTTTTTTTTTTGCTATAGGGTGTGTGCGTTCACTGGAGAGACAGAGACAGAAAATGAGAAATCACCCCCTCTGAGGGAATGGCCATGCTGCAATCCCTTCTCCTCCATTCTCCACTTAAGATTTTGGGCATGCATGCGCAGGTGCCCAGTGTGAGTTTCAAGTCACTGGGTCTGGGACTTAAACTGTAGTTGGCCATGTGGGAGTCTAGAGGTTTAACCACTATACTACCAGATGGCCCATTTTATCTTTTTTTTTTTTTTTAATGAGATCGTGCAGAAAGGAAGAGAATAATAGATTTTTTTTACTTGTTTTTTATTTTTATTTTTTGTACTATAGGATGTATGCACTCATCAGAGAGATAGAAAGAGCGAGAGAAGAAAAGTGAGACATCACACACCTCCCCTCCCCTGAGAGTTACCATACTGCAACCCCTTCTTCTTCAGTCTCCTCTCAGGATTTAAGGCACACACACACACACACACACACACACACACACACACACACACACGCACACTCCCTGCATGGGTTTCCAAGCTGCCGGGTTTGGGACTTAAACTGCACCGTCGGCTGTATGGGATCTAGTGCCTTAACTTCTATGTAACCTCCTGGCCCAAGATGAATATTTTTGACAGGATGTCACCACAGTGGGATCCTTCTTGCCCTAGCCTCCTTGTTAGCCTGAACCACAAGTGGTACTGGGCCTAGACTGCCTAAGTCAGACAGGAACCAAACTCGGGCCTCCCCTATAATCTCAACCTTTGAGTAGCACCCTCCTACCTACACCACCGTAGTTGGCCTCATTTCATCTAATGTATTATGTAGCTATTAGAGCTATATAGCAACCATTGTATAGATGTCTTTGTCTATTCCACTGGTCCTCTAATGATAAACATTTGAATTGTTTTTACTCCTTTGCTATGGTACATATTTCAATATATAGGCTTTCGCAGATGTATGCTCATATTTTTGCCAGTATATTTTTGGGTGAATTCCTAGAAATAGAACTACACAGTCAAAGGGCATGTCAGTTTATTCAACATTGTCAAATTCCTGTCCATGACAGCTATTATGTGGGTCTTATCAGTTTCTTTCTTTCTTTTCTTTTTTTTTTTTTTGTTTTGTTTATTTGCCATATGCACACCAGAAAGAGAAAAGGAGAAAGGACTCCCCAGTGGGGCATGGTCATGCTGCAATTCCTTCTCCTTCATTCATCCATCATGTCAGGATTCAGGGCCCCCCTGCATACTCACTCAGTGTGTTTTTTAAACCACTGGGCCTGGGATTCAAACCACAGTTGGCCATGTGGGATTTGACTCCCTTAACCATTAGGCTATGGGGCCAGCTGAGGATTTTATCGGTTGTGAAACTAGTAAAATTTGACTAGGGATTAATAAAACTGTGCCAAAAATAGAAATTTGTTCAGATTTCTAACACAGGGATTGATTACTTAAGTTAATACACTTCTGTGTGTGTCATTGAATATCCTTTTACTTTCAGTTCAAAATGCCAAAGATTACAGAGTAATAGAGGAACAATATATGCACAAAGGGCTCTTTTCGTCCCTGGCTGCTTGAGGATATACCGCCATCATGAATGACACAGTAACTATCTGAACCAGGAAATTCATGACTGACCGACGACTTCAGAGGAAACAAGTGGTCACTGGTGTCCTTCACCCCGGGAAGGCAACGGTACCTAAGACAGAAATTCAGGAGAAACTAGCAAAGATGTCCAAGACCACACCAGATGGCATCTTTGTGTTTGGGTTCAGAACCCATTTTGGTGGTGATAAGACAACTGGCTTTGGCATGATTTACAATTCTTTGGATTATGCGAAGAAAAATGAACCCAAACATAGACTTGCAAGACATGGCCTTTATGAGAAGAAAAAGACATCAAGAAAACAGTGAAAGGAACATGAGAACAGAATGAAGAAAGTCAGGGGGACTGCAAAGGCCAAAGTTGGTGCTGGCGAAAAGTCAAAGGAGTAAAGATTCTGCAATGACTATCTGCGGTGATTGTGCGGATTTTTCATGAGAGGATTAATAAACTAAAAAAGTTTTATGTAAAAAAAAAATATATATATATGCACAAAGGAACTGAGCAGAGGTGGCTACTTTTCTAATGTCAGCCAATTAGTCTTGTAAACTGCTTTTAATATACCTGGACAAGCCTCTGTGCTGTGATTAAAATGGTATTAATTGCTATTCTTTCCTAAGCGCCTGAGTAGAATAGTGTTGTCAAGGCTTTGGAGCCAGATAAGAGGAGGGTTGGAACTGCTGGCTATTTCACCTTCTCAGCCCATTTCCTGGTGGGGGTAACATGAGAATGATCATGCCTACCACACGGGTTATTGCTCAGTGAGTGGCAAGTTGTTAAATTGTAATTCGAAGCACTGAGTTTAGTGCCTGATTACATGGCACTCAGTCAAGGGTCGTCACTGTTACTAGCCCGGCCACCCAAAAAATAGTACTCCCTTTAATGAATGATAAGGGCTTTTATTGTTGATGAATTGTTAATGATTCTTTTATTATCTTTTGGATGTGCTGTGTTTCTACCCTAGTACTCCAGGTAGAGACTGGTCTCCTTGAAGTCAGCAACCTTGTCTCGCTCATCACTGCGCCTTTCGACCTTAGCATAAAGTCAGAATGCGGCACATTTCTTAAAGGGAGGAGTTAGAAAAATAAATTGTTCTTTTAGAAAGTTTGAGTAGTATGAAAACTCCTGAGATCGGCTTGAAAGAGACTTTTAGGAAGGAGAAGTTTTGAACATTTGCACAGACTGAGGCAGAGATTGAAAGTCAAACACAGGCAGAGCTAACTAAGCCAGGTGAAGGTGGAGGAGAAAAGGGCAAGGAGGGATGGGCTTAAGAGTGCAGGGAAAGAAAGATTAGGTCCTTAAGACTTCATAGAAGAGCGAGAAGGAGGATACCGAGAATGGAGTTCAGGTTTGAATTAAAGAAGACAAATCAAGAGGACTTATAATGGACAGACTCTTACATTCTGCTAAGGCAAAGGGATCAGAGGTGATGGAAAGGCCTGAAAACAAACTGGAAGAACTTCCAGTTAATGGTCAGAGTTCCAATAACAACAGGGAGTGAATGAGTGGACTAGCAGCAGTGAGGGACCATGTACACTCTGTGAGCCTTATCAGTTAGCTTGCTCGCTTGATTATACGTTTCTTTATTCATTTATATGTTAACTAATACTTAATAAATATAAATTGTGTATGTTGTGTATGTTGTGTATGTTTTTCTTAACTTCCCTTGAGGAAGCAGCTGCTATGTAGCCGAAGTCTCTGTGCAGATTTGCAAAGGCCCTTTTCTGTGTAAATAGAGGTAGTCAATTAGCATGGTCAGCATGACTCATAGTGATTGACATCGGTTTTTGAGCACTGTTCTCTTCTGTTATCATTAACCTGAGTTTCCATGCATGAGGGTTATCAGCATGATAAGGTGAAATTGCTTTATGGCACGTGCATTTAAGTAAAATCTTCAGGCTGATATAAACGTACTAAGAATTACTGAGGCTTTCTTTCCTTTTTTTTTAATAACAGAGTTGGACAAGTAATAACCATCAAAGCAAAAGTTACTAGAGCTTTCAGCACGAGCATGGAGGTAAGAGGCGCCTTTCCTTGCTCCTACTCTGCTCATCGCTGCATTCTTTACAGAGTGGAGGAGGAGTTCCTGAGGTTTTATATTCAGAATCTGTACTCAGACTCACAGGTAAATAATAAGGAACTGGTGTTTTTCAGTTAACTCTGCCACTAAATTCAGTATAACACAATGCACTTTTATAGACGACTATGCAGGGTCTTCAAAAAGTTTATGGAAAAATGCGGATTATGAAAAATTTTAAATGCATCTCAATATTTTTTTACAAAAAAAAAAACATTGTATTTTTGTATTGTATTTTAATTACATTTTTCCATGAGCTTTTTGAAGTCCCCTTGTACATAAGAAATAAATATACAAGGGATAAGGGTACTTTCTTGGTTCTTTGTAAAACATAACCTTTATTTCTTAGTTATTCGAACTCTATTACTTTTCTAACTCTACTTTTTTCCCATCTCCTTACCCCACAATAGAAACTAGCCCAACGATTAACTAGTTTTTGCAAGGCAGATATCTTAGTTCACTTGTGCTGCTGTAACAGAACAGAATACCTGAGGCTAGGTAACTTGCCAAGAACAGAGATTTATTTCTTAGGGTTATGGAGGTTGGGAAGTCTGAGACTGAGAGGCCAGCGTCTTCTTGCTCCATCATAACATACTGGAATGCAGAAGATCAAAAGAGGGTAAGAGAAAGAGAGAGAGAGAGAACAAGAGAGACCTGAAATTGCTTTTATAACAACCCACCTCTGCAATAAGGGCAGAGCCCTCCTGACCTCAGCACCTCTTAAAGGTCCTACTTCTCAGTGATAGTGCAGTGGGTATGATGTTTCCAGCACACACAGTCTTTGGGGGACACATTTAAGCTATAATAGCATGGTAACTGGTCTTCAGTAAGAAGGTAAGTTCAAAATAAATTTTCTTGGGGCCAGCAGATTGCATAGCGGTTAAGGCGCTGGATTCCCATGTAGTCGACTGCAGTTCCAGTCCCAGACTCAGCAGCTTTAAACTCACGCAGGGTGCATGTGCTTGCATGCCCAAAATCTGAGGGGAGAATAAAAGAGAAGGGATTGTGGCATAACCATCCCCCCCCCTCCGCCAGGGGGATGATTTTTTGCTTTCTGTCTCTCTATCTCTCTGTCTCTCCAGTGAGTATACACACCCTATAGCAAAAATCTCTCATCAAAAAAAAAAAAAAAAGAATTTTCTTCTGCACCTACTTGGTTTTCTTTTCTTTTATAAAGAATTATTTCATTGTAACTTTATTTATTTATTTATTTTAATCTGACCAGAGAGAGGCAGAGAGAGAGAGCCACCAGGTCCAGGACCCAAACCATGGTCAGCCATGTGGGAATCCAGCACCCTTAACCACCACACCACCTGCTGGCCCTGGTTTTCTTTTCTTTGCTATTATTGCAAATTCAACATTCTCAAGCGCTTTTGAGATCTCTGTTCAGGTTAAATTACCAAGAAAGGAGTTGCTGGCTTTCATTCTAATTTGTACATTGGTCAACTAGAGCGTCTGTGATCTCTGGGTACAAAAAACGTGGAGGAAACTTGTGTCCATTTTCTGTAGTTTATATTCATTTTCTAGGACTGCCCTAATAAAGTGCCGCAGACTGGGTAGCTGAAACAATGGAAATTTGTTGTCTCACAGTTATAGTGGCTAAAACTCCCAAATCAAGATGCCAGCAGGGTTGGTTCCTTCTGAAGGCTGTGAAAGATAATCTGCTCCATGCCTCTCTTTCTGCAGCTTTTGGCACTTCTTGGCTTTTGCTGCATCACCCAGATCTGTGCCTTCATATTCACATACGTTCTCTTTGTGAGTGTGTCTGTGCCCAAATTTCCCCTATTTATAAGGATGTCAGACATACTGGCTTAGGGGCACACCTCACGGCAGAGTGGACTCATCTTAACTCATTACATCTGCAATGAAATATCCAAATAAGGTCTCATTCTGAGTTCCTAGGGGTTAGGGCTTCAACATTAGACTTTGAAAGAGACAGTTTGACCAATAACCAGGCTATTTTGGTCATCACCATCCCTAAGGCAATGCTTCGCCCAGATTTACTCTCTTTTTCTCAGTAACCAAATAAACAGAATAACACGTGAAATTGGAAAGGAAGTGCTTGTGGAAAAAACTGACTCTGTCAGTGATAATAGTGAAGGTGCTTCTGGACTCTGGTTTCTCAGCTGGAAGCTCTTGACCTTTAGCTACACAGTAGTCCCTGGGCCGGGTTGTCTCTTGAGGGACAGGCACTCTCCTTATGAGTCAGTCCAAACATAAATAAATTTCCTTTTCTTTTTTACCTTTGTCCTCTATTCCCTGAGACAGGCTAGAACTTTTAAAGAAAGTTTTCTAAAGCATGGTTTACAGTGACTGGACTAATTTTTAGCCATCCCTCTTATCTCCGCTCTTGGTGGTTTGTCTTTTGTTTTTTAGTGTGTTTTCAGTGTTTGTTTCAGGGTATATGATATGCATACTTACCTGAGTCTAACTTTAAGTAATATCATACCTCTCTACGTATAATGTAATACTTTCACAATAGAATATACACTTTCTTTACCACCTTTAGACTTTACAGTATTGTTGTCACATCTTTTATCTCCACATATTATAAAACCAATACATTCTTATAATATTCTCGCTGTAGAGAGTTAATCATCTTTTATAGGGATTCAAAAGAAAAAAATTTACATCTAAACACGTATTTGCCGTTTATGGTGCTCTTCATACCTTGTGTATCTTCAGATTTTCCTTCTGCCTGAGGATATTCTTTTAACATTTCTTATGGTATATTAGGTTGTCGGAAAAGTCATGATGTATTTTTCTGGGGGCCAGCAGGTGGTGTGGTGGTTGGGACCTGGACTCCCACATGGCCAACCATGGGTCGAGTCCTAGACCTAGTGGCTTGCTTTTTCTTTCTCTCTCTGTCTCTCTGGTGAGCACACATGTCCTGTGTCAAATTAAAAAAATAATAATAATAATTTTAAAAAAATAAATAATTATTTAAAAGTAAATAAATAAAACTCTAAGACTGAAGTTAGAAAAAATTATGGTAATCTCTTTGATGGGCTATAAGACAGTCATTAATATCTTGTTTTCAAAAGTATATTTACTGAGAACCAGCAGTTAGCGTAATGGCTGTCGCTGGACTCCCACATAGTCGACTGCAGTTCACATCCTGGACCCGGTGGCTTAAAACTCACGCTGGGCGCATATGCGTGCGTGCCCAAGATCCCGAGAGGAGAATGGAGGAGAAGGGATTGTGGCGTGACCATCCCCTCTGGGGGGTGATTTCTCGCTTTCTGTCTCTATGTCTCTCTCTGTCTGTCTGGTGAGTGCACGCGCCCTATAGCGAAAACCTCTCCAAAAAAAAAAAAAAAGTATATTTACTAAAATTAGAATTAGAAATATTTATCACATAATACAAAGTTTTAAAGATTAGAATACAGAAGCATACAGTATGACTTTATATATATGTATACATGTACATATATAAATACATGTGTGTATATACATATATACACACATACATATATATACATTTCATGTACATATGAAAGTACTTTTAAAAATTGTGGGAAATGGAATTAAAATATAAGTTTTTCCTAGTACAAAAATCATATTGAAATCTGCATAGTTTTCTTTACAGTAGTCATTTTCCATGAACTTTTTGAGAATCCCTAATATGTATAAAACTGGAAGAAAATATACTTAAATGTTTAATAATTATTATCTCTAGATGATGAGACTACTAATAATATTTATTCTGGATAATCAGATTTCATAAATTTTCCATGGTGAATACATATTTCCTATAATTAGAAATAAGTGATTTGTCCAATGGAATACCACTGAAATAGTATTGCTTAAAAAGAAAATGCTTATTTCATTTTTAAAAATAAAAGAAAATAATGATGATATGCATATAACTAAATTTTCTTGTTATTTTTTTTTTAAATTGCCAGAGGGAATACTTGCTCACCAGAGAGAGACAGAGAAAGAAAGGAAGAGGGAAAAGGCACTCCCCACTAGGGCATGGTCATGCTGCAATCGCTTCTCCATTTCTCCATCCTATCAGGATTTGGGGCATGTGTCCACATGTACTTGGTGTGTTTTTCAAGTGAGCAGGGCCAGGATTAGAACCAAGATGTCAGCCATATGGGATCTAACTCCTTTAACCACTAGGCCATGGGGCTAGCCCCACTTAACCTAATTTTCAATACCGTGATATAAACTGTTGTCTGGATGGCTGGAAGTTTATTTCTTTTTCTTTTTCTTTCAGATCAGTATCAAGGTTACGGTACAGGACATGTTCACTGGCATTGAGAAGCTCATTAGTGTTGCTTTCTCTACTTTTGTAGCCAAACCAGTTGGAAAGGAAAAGGTAAATTTTCTGTGTGAAGCTGTATCTAGTATGTAACTCAGGGACATAAAAGCAATTGTATCAAAATATTATGGAAGAACATTTCTTCTTACCATGAGATATACTCTCCTAAGATTTGTTATTCACCAATATTTATTGCAAAGGTTCTCACTCTGTGGTCACATCATAGGATTAAGTACCTTAGAGAAAAGGAGATGTAGCCACTTTGAAAAAACAAAAAAAGTTGTGTTTTACATGATCTAAAGGTCATATTAGTTTCTCAAAAATATTGTTTACTGCTTTGATTCTTTTCTTTTGCGGTTATATAACTAAAAATTGAGTTAAAATGACATGTTTTTTTAAAAAGCAGGAGCAATTTAGCAAGCAGTTGTATGTTACAGCCCAATCATTTTTTTACACCTAAAGGAAAAATGTCAAAGTCGCTGAGTTATTGAAGTTTAAAAATAGCATCAGGGCATCTGGGGTAGGAAAAAAAAAAAAGAAAAATCCTTAAAAGCAATGTGGTAGCCTGACGTGTGGGTCTGGCTGGCCAGCCTGGCCATTCGCCCAGACCTGCACTTCTGTGGGATACTGCAGATTTACTTATTATCATTTTTTGACATTTATTTTTAGGGTCAGGGGGATGCCTGGGGAGAGCCTTCATTTAGTTTAAGCATTTTCAAAATGAAATAATTTAATTTAGAATTCACATTTTTCACTCCAAAAATCACACCGGAAGTGGGCACCGTGGCTTCTCCCAGCTCCACTTTGAAGCACTGAGAACTTCTCACTCTGCCAAGTGTTCTTCCTCTGACTGCCTGCCTCCACTCTCTCAGAGCCGGCTGGGACAGAGCAGTTCTCACTGTAGCCAGCAGAGGTGGCTACAGAGCTGCACTTACCAACTGCTCCTCACCTGAGCCAGGGGCTGCAAGGACAGCTGGGACTGAGTTAGCCCACCCTGGTGCCAAAGTGGCAGGAGTCCCCTTAGAGTTTTGTACTCTGGAGTGCTTCTCCCACTCTAGGCCCAGCGTTAAACATGCTGCAAGGCGATTCATATTGCCCAACAGTGTTGCTTTTCAAGCTCAAGTTTATGTCTCTAATTATGAAAAATGTAGCTTTGTGGGCTGTATCTCAGATCTGCTGAATTAGGATCACCAGCATAGAAACTCAGACCTGCACTTTGACAGAGCATCCCAGGCATCGCCTCTTCATTAAAATCTGAGACACTGGGATAGGCCTTGCCCATTATTCTGCTTCTCCTAAGTGTTCTTGCATGTCCAGACACCTGGGAATGAGAATATAAGGGTACGTGCAGCATTCTATATCTGGAAAGAAGTGACAGGAAGGAGCACGCCTCATCATCCATTCTTTCACTTATAGGAGAGAAGAAGGGCACCCTTCAGCCTTGGGCTTCTCACTCTGTCTTCAGGGACAAGGGTTGGAGAGGTCTTCATAAAGTTCTTGGAAAATGCATATATTATAAAATAACCATGCATGGATTTCAACTGACCTTTGCATGAAAATAAACTCATGCTTTAATTCCATGTTTTCAAAGCCTTTTTGAAGTCCACTCATAGTCATACTTCACTCCAATTGCTGCTAAACCTAAAGAATTGGTTTCCAGGGCCAGCAGTTAGCGTAATGGCTATGTTGCTGGACTCCCACATAGTCAACCGTGGTTCGCGTCCCTAACCCGGTGGCTTAAAACTCACGCCGGGCGTGTGTGCATGTGTGCCCAAGATCCTGAGAGGAGAATGGAGGAGAAGGGATTGTGGTGTGGTCATCCCCGCTGGAGGGTGATTTCTTGCTTTCTGTCTCTCTGTCTCTCTCTGTCTGTCTGGTGAACACACGCACCCTATAGCAAAAACCTCTCCAAAAAAAAGAATTGGTTTCCAAAAGCATTTGAGGAAGTCAGGGACACTGTAGTGCTGCCTCAGATAACTTGAACTGTAAAGCATCGTTCCCAGACTAAGTTACTGTCCAGTTGTTGTAATATTCTTGTTCAGTAGCGCATCATGAAGAAGACCATGGAAAATCAGCTGTTTATTTGAAATAGCAGGGCTGCCTGGATCTCTGCCCAAAATGAGTTTATTCCAGAATGAAGCTGGCAATGATTAAATAGATTTGGTACAACAATTGCCCAGATTGGGGCATTGAAAGGGCTCACAAGACTCCTAGGACACACTCACACAAGGCCTCACTAAGAACATGCAACAGCAGGAGGAAGAAAACACAGGCCATGGTCAGAGAGGCTCAAGATTTCCAGACCTGGCCCTCAGGGGCCTCTTATGCTGCACAGATGTACTTTGTAGATTATTAATCACCAAGATACATAGATGCAAAGGTGTCTGGATTTCAGGAAAGCCAAAGCACACATTTACCAAGTGGTCTTTAATACCTGGGTGGTCATACGACTAAAACGAGGCTGTGTGAAGAGGTAAACTAGAGCAAGTCATCCAATCTAAACACATTCCTGATGAAGGCAGATGAGGTAGGCCAGGGAATTTGGACTTCGTGCAGGGAATTTTAACTACTACCTTATTTTATCATTACATTGGCCAAGAGTCAGTATCAGACTTGATGTCACCTGGACATAAGCATGGCGCTGTCCCAGCCCAGCAAGGTGACTCTTCCTTACATACCGGAAATTTTGGGAAGGGCTTGAGCTCTTGGTCCTATTGCATCATATTTCCAAGTTTTTGGAGGTCAATTAAAGCTTTATTCTGACATATTGATTCTTTCAGTTTGTTTAGTAGATAATGTTTTCACCGTGTGATGAAGTCTCCAAATTGAAAATCTCCCTCGGTTTAAGATAGCTTTCTCTAGAACGTCTTTATTCCCTCCCTTTGGTATCCTTTTTATTATTTCCGAGAGAGAGATTTTTGCTATAGGGTGCGTGCACCCACTGGAGAGAAAGAGAGACAGAGAGCGAGAGATGACTATTCCCCACTGGGGCTGGCCATGCTGCAATCCCTTCTCCATTCTCCTCTTGGGATCTTGGGCACACATACACACATGTACCCTGCATAAGTTTTAATCTGGTCCCAGGACTCGAACTGGGGTCAACTACATGGGAGTCCAACAATGTAACCATTATGCCATCTGCTGGTCCTTCTCTCTGGTATCTTAATTTTGCAAAATACAGAAAACTTTCCAGTGAGGTCAAAGGTCCTCTCTTTGTTCATCCATTTGAAAATTTTCTTATTTGTAGCTCTCTTGGAAATTTTTCAAATCATGGAAAATTAATAAGGAAAACTTTTCAAAGCACATATATTACTTGTATGAAGAAATGATTAAATCTATATTGATTTTTGTAGTTAAAAAGTATTTTAAGAAAAAAACTTGATAAAATGTTTATTGAAAACCCCCATAAATGCTCTAGGTACTTAGTTAGAAAAACCACCCGAGCATATCATTTGTTTCTGTAAAATTCATGTCGTGCTTTTATAATTTAACAAGGCAATGTAATGAAGTGGTTTTCTTTCTCTAGATTCATTTGAAACCAGTCACACTTCTAACGGAACAAGATCACGTCGAACATAACCTGGCTTCTGAGAGAAGGAAGGTTCGATTACAGCACGAAGATACCTTTAACAACTTAATGAAGGAAAGTAGCAAGTTTGATGGTCAGTACATCTACTTAGAGGAATTTATATGATGTGGCTGTGAAGGCTTCTTGTCCTTTTTTTTTTTTTTTTCCTCTCCATTGTCTAATTACTTTGTAAAATACAGGGATCTAGTTTTGCAAAAGAGTCAAACACATCAGTAATTTTTATTAGTTGGCTGTGAAGGGTTTTTTTCCTTTTTTTTTTTTTTTTTCCTCTCCATTGTCTAATTACTTTGTAAAATACAGGGATCTAGTTTTGCAAAAGAGTCAAACACATCAGTAAGTACACATTAGTAAGTAGAGGAAATGGTCAAAGTCACCTTGGATCCCAAGCTACTGAAGGACTCCTTTCTTAGAGCACACTCATTTTCACGCTACTGCGGTGAAAATATGGTGATGCGAGTTGTCTGTTTTAATAAATCCAGTAGCTGGAGAGGAAAGGGACTGTCCCTTTAGAATACAGCTCTGACACCTATGGCCTCTTTAAACTGGAGGGTCTTCTGAGAGTGAGTGAGAAGTAAGGGACCAGGTAGTTGTTACTCTAAACGTTTATCAGTAATGGTCTATTACTGGAGGGATGGTGATAATACCATGTGGTGACAGGGGCTTCACAGTTCCCCAGGCAGCTTCTCAGTCCTCACATCATAGGGGCTGCATGTAATGTCAGCAGAAGAGAAGACTGAATCTCTGAGTAGGGAAGAAACTTGCAAAAAAACACGCAGTGTGTGAACAGATGTGATGAGAATTTGCTCCTTTTTTCTGGCACTTTCCAAAAAACCCTGTGTTGTGTGAGTCAGAGTTTCTTAGTTCTCTGATAGTGATTTCCCGGGCTCTTTGATTGACAGGGTAAGGCAGGCCTCCTGCCCCTCCCATGCCCTTCCTTTTTGTCTGACCCTTTTTCCAAAACTCTCTGGGGAGATGGCAGACGAGAACATGGAGCCAGAGTATGGAAGCAGAGTCAGCCAGCCAGGGGGGCAAGGAGGCTCAGGAAGCTCTGCCTTCCACTGGCTCCCAAGGACAGCGCTGGAAGAGGAGGAAGGAAAGGAGAGAACAAGAATGGGTCAGAGTGAGAGGAAGGAGGAAGAGTACACACAAAAGCCAGAGGAGGAAGGGAAGGGAGAAGCTAGAAGGTAGAAGTAGAAAGGCTTATTCTACTCCAGGTGACATCCTTATGGTCCTAGGACAAGCCCACAGAAGACCTATGAAGTGGAAAAGAGCTTTTCAAAGACTTCTACTTATTCTTGACCATTAAAAGGGCAATACCCACTACCAAGCTATTTTTAAGGGGATGAAGATGTCATCATTAAATGACTATGTTAACAAGACTGAGACTCTTTTGAAAGATGGTCTTGGTACCAAAATATATTTTAAATGCATTTTGTTCAAATAATGAAATTGCTAAACCATGAAAACAGATTAGATAACCATCAATAAAAAACAAAACCAGAGAGGCAATCAACCTCAAATATATCTTGCAGTCACCTCACCTCTAAAATTCCAGGGGAAAAAATGAAATATTATAGATAAAACACTCGCTAATGGTTAAATACATACTGTTTAACAAGTATATCTCTAAGGGTGTCTTGAAAACTCAAGCATTTAACATGGTTATAAGTAAGTAGGTGTAATTAGCCTGATTTCACGGGTCTTTCTGTTGGTACAATTATATACTTTTTTTAAAAAAGAATCATTTAACTTATGTTTTATTTATTTATTCATTCATTTTATTTTAGTTTGACCAGAGAGAGAGAGAGAGAAAGAGAGAGAGAAAATGAGAAAGCAAGCCACCAGGTCCGGGACTTGAACCATGGTCAGTCATGTGGGAGTGTCCAGTTCCTTAACCACCATGCTATCTGTTGGTCCCCTGTACAATATCTTTTGAAAAGACTTCTGTTCTCATCGAAATTCAAATACCTGAGTTTGTAAGGATAAAGTTCACATAAACAATCAGAAGTCTGGTTGGTACTATCAGTTATTTTGAAGTCTATGTATATTCTTCCTGAGATCTTTTAAGAATTTGCTTCTACTCCTATAAGTCGTCTCTTAGAATCACATCTCTAAGATTATTGAAAGTTTTTGTTTATGTTTATTTCTTCTATGAGAGAGAGAGAGAGACAGAAAGAGATCCCCAACCGAATGTTAACACCCTACCTTCAGCCTCAGGCATCCCCAATCACAAGTATGCCTAGCATATACAAGGAGACTCCAGGACACAGATCTGGGACCATACCATGTTGGCTGAGAAGTGTTACAAGGTGTTGAGTTATTGTTGTGCCACTGCAGCTGGCCCTATTTTCCAACCTCTTAATCTGGAACTCTCTAGAATAAGCTGCTGCCACTAAGAAAATGGTGACCCTTTGCTGAGTGAGGTGTGAGTCAGGTTAATCCTGTGCTTCAAGGTTAGATGAAGTGTATTTGTGATTGTGTTTAAGATCATTTATAGCCATAGAGATGGATGGACCCCTTCTCCCTCAGGAGAGAGCAAGACTACCACACCAACTGCTTAGTTCCAGCCAATAGATATGTATAAAATGCCCGCCATATGCCAGGGATGTGCTTGGCACTAGAAGTACAAAGATGAAAAGTGCAGGGCCTTTGCTCTTGAAAATGTATAGTGCAGTGCTGGAGACAGACACATTAGTAGTTTGAAAAGAAGGGGGCCAACAAATGTCATAAGGTTATACCCTTGGACTCCTGGTGGCTTGAAAATTATACTGGGCGCATGTGCATGTGTGCTCAAGATTCTGGGAGGAGGGACCAGCAGTTAGCGTAATGGCTATGTTGCTGGACTCCCATGTAGTTGACTGCGGTTCACATCCCGGACCCGGTGGCTTAAAACTCACGCCGGGCGTGTGTGCGTGCGTGCCAAGATCCCGAGAGGAGAATGGAGGAGAGGGGATTGCGGCATGACCATCCCCCCGGGGGGTGATTTCTCACTTTCTCTCTCAGTGTCTCTTTCTCTCTTTATGGCAAGAGCATGTGGCCTAAGGCAAAAACTTCTTAAAAAGAGAAGAAAGAAAGAAAATAAATGGAGAGTACATAGAGAGCTGTACCCCAAATTACTGTGGGAGCCCAGAGAGGGAGCCCTTAGGAGTTCAGGAAAGAACTACTGGAGGAAGAACTATGAGAAGAAAGTTAGAAAGGGAAGGCAAAGCAAGCAACAGCATGAGTAAGACATGGTGGCATAAGCCAGCATGCTGCGTGCTAGGAAACCACACTGTAGGAAGATGTCCAGAGAGAAAATTCCAGATGGGCAGAGGCAGGAGATGAAAAGATAGGACTGTGCTTGACTTTTCTTTTGTCCTTAATGGAAGCCTTTGAAAGAGTTTGTGCAGGGTTGTGGCATGGTTAGGTTTGTACTTGATATGGTCACTCTAGGTAGAGGAGAGAGACCAGGCAAGAGGTGAGGAATTCCTGAACAAGATAGTGACTGTGGGGAGAGAGAGGCGGGACATGTTTACAAGAGGTAAAATCAGGAGAGTAAGGTCTAGCTGCAGGAGGGGAGCTGGATGAGGAAGAAGGAATAACAGGGTAACTCTGAGGTTTCTGGTTTGAGCAGTGGGTTAATGATGACATCATAGGCTGAGACAGAGTGACAAGAGAGTAATGAGGTGGATGGTGAGTTCAGATTTAGACTTTTGGAGTCTGCCATGCCTCTGGAACATCCTGAAGGCAGAGGCCACGACTGAGGAGAAGTTTGAGAGACAACAGTTTACAGATGGTAGTCACATGAAGCTAGTAAGCATGGTCACCTAGAGAGAACGCAGGGAGACAAGGGGGTGGACTAAGAGTGGAACCTGAGAAACACAAGCATCTAAGAGGTGCTCAGGGAAGTGGGATTCACAGAGGAGACTGGGAGGGACTGATCAGAGGGACACGCAGAGGACTAGAGAGAGTAGGGCCACAGCCAAGGGAGTAAGGTGAGAAGAAATGTGTGGTCACCTGTGCTCCAGGAAGGGCACATTAAAAACTGTCTACTGGGAGACCACAAGTGCTAAAGTGGTATGGAGGTTAAAGCAACTGGCTCCCACACGGCCAACTGAGAGGTTCAAGTCCTGGACCCAGTGGCTTAAAAACACACTGGGCATGTGTGCATGTTTGCCAAAAAACACAAAAGGAGAAAGAAGAAGGGACTGCAGTGTGGCCATTCCCCCTAGAGTGTGATTTCTCACCATCCTCCCCACTCCCACCCCACACGTCTGTCCACCTCTCTCTCATGAGCACACATGCCCTATAGCAAAAGCAAAAGCAAAAAAAGTCAGTCCACTGGATTGGGACTAGGGGAGTCATTACTGACGTTGGTGAGAGTGGAGTTAGTGCAAGCATGAGGGCAGTAATTGGGGTACGGAAAGGGAGACATTCGAATGGTCCCTATTAGAGCAATAAAGAGGATGGAAAACAGCTCTCCAAAACCTCTGTGTCACAGTCACGTGCCAAACTGAACACTCCACACTAGGCTCTTTCAAAGCACAGGTCAGGATAGAGCAGATGGCAGAGGAAGCCCCGCAGCCTCCAAACCCTGGCAGCCCAAGTGTCCTTTGCACCGCAGATGGGCCATGAGGACACAGTGGCCCTCACAGCTTGTAGGACAGCTTGGCTATTTCAGAGCCTCTGCTTTTCGGGCAATGGAAGTGTTGAACTGTATCTCAAAATGTCCACACTAGTGGGAAGTATCCTACAGCAGTGCTGGCATTTGACAGGAACACAGTTCTCTCATGGTCTTTTCATGGACCTGTGTCATCAGAGGTGGGGGGCACCTACTTCCCTCTGATTTCTGGACCCAGCCCCATGGGAAACAGGGGCCTTTCTTCAGCCTCCTCACACCTAAGCTACTCACACCAGACACAGCTGCTTCTTCATGTGGCTTATTTACTCCAAAGGCCAGGTTATTAGGAACTGGGCCTCCTCACTGGCTCATGTACGTCCTCCTGAAGTTAGTGGCTACTGGCCAGCAGATTACTCTTTTTCTTTTCTTACTTACTGTCTATAACCAAGACCTCTGCTTCTGTTTTTCTCAGA